TCAATATGGGTTCAAGCCCTCGCTCGCCAACATTCACCTCCGAGGGTCTATTTTGGAGATAAAAGGTGCTCTCTTCAGTGCAGTCGGTTTCTTTAAGTTCCTTCATCTCCATTTTAAACTGTTTTGGGTTTCTTCAACATTTTAGCATTTTCAACCCTTTTAAAAATTAAAATATTTTATTTCTACCCAAAAAAACTTACAAGGGTTACATGGGTTTTGAAGCTTAAGGGAGAGCCCTGATTATTTACCATAAAAATTTGAACAAAACCCCAATGCTGGGGGGTAGGAGTGGCAAGTGAAAAATTTAGGGGTGGAGTACTGATTATGCAAGTACAGTAGTTTGTTTTTCATTTGACATCAATCTAATTCTTATCGGGGATTTTATAATCTTGACTTTTTTTTTTGTAGCTATTTTTTAAAATTAACCCCGTTTGATCATTTTTTTAAAACATATACTTCATACCAAATACCTCCCTTTTTTATTCTTTTACATTCTTCCCACATTTGCGCCCTGACAGTGAACCCAGGCTTTTTTGGTGGAGCAGGCGGGAGTAAAGCAACCACTGGCAAGATGCGTATTTTTGGTACTTCTTAGATTTTATACTTTTAAAGGATATCAATTTTTTCACGGGTAAAAAGTTTTATTTTTGTAAATCTTTTTTTCTGAATTTCTCTAACGCATTAGTGGACTGGCTTTACATTTTCAGTTATTGTGCATAAAATACTAGGCAAGTTCTATTATCACACTGAACTTCTGTTGTGACTTTCCTTTGTATGTCATATTTCTTACCAAGTATGACATGAAAAGTTCAGTTGTTATTCTCTGGAGGAGCTACATACTGTGGTCTGTTGCATCTGTCATCCTTTAGTTTTGACAGCTGGTCCTTTTCATGTGTGTATCCATGCCACTGAGCTACATCCCATCAAAATAACCTTTCATTGTTTATGAACAATACTGATTGTCAAAAAATGTTGGAAAATGACACAAGGAAGCTATGCATATGCATCAGGGAAAAGCACTAAAATCTATACAACTTAGGAAAAATGGAGAAACTTTCAGTTATAAAATACATTGATACATTCTTTGACTGAAGATATGCAGGAAGTACAGTCATTAAAAAAAAACTGTTGGTATTGGTGTCTTAAAAGGCTAATACAATTGAGTAATTATATCATAAATTTGATTCTACTACAAGATATTGTTGTAAAAATGCTTGGTAACCTTGAGTTTGATAAAGTTGATGTAATATAAAAGAAAAATTAATAAGAGCAAGGGGAATAATTAAATGGTAGATTATTATTATAATCATGGGGAAGTGCTAAACCTGTAGGATTATACAGCACCTGAAATGGGGGGGGAGGGATAGAAGGTATTCAGACTTAATTCAGGGAACTGGAGCACAGATACAATTCCCTAGATCAAGAGCACCTCACCAGCATCAAGGAACCTCCCTTGAGGGGATGAAATAGTAGAGAATCCTTTTCTAAAGGTAATAAAACAAAAAGTACAAAATTTGATGGAAAACTGATGAAATTACACTTTAGTGAATTTTGCTATGTCAGCAATATAAGTGATCAGAAATTGGTAATTTTGCCAATTTCACACAAATTTCAAAAGATTCCAATTTCAGAATATGGTCCAGAATAAACAATGCAGGCATTCATGGCCCTAAAATAATATTTTCCCTGTTCATTAGTTTCATTCCCAAACTTTACATATGAATTCCATTTTGAATTTTTATTCACATAAAAAATTAGATTTACTGTTATACAATATTGTAATAATTGTATAAATATCAGTGCATTAGTGAACATGTATTAGACCCACCAGTCTAATACTGCAATATATGTTCCATACAATCAAATGAGACCAAGAATGCAAGCATAATAACCATACGAAAATACACAGCAAAGTCGCTCTTTTAAACCAACAAGTATTTTTTTTTCTCAATATGCCTTGCATGCTGCAGGATTTTTTCTACATGGTGCACATTTACTGCATAGACCCAATCCTTAATATGTAGGCCCAAATTTACCACACAGCCTGAGTGAGCGGACGTCATGGCGTAGTACTACAGCACCGACAGTGACCTC